TTGTCTGGTAGGTTTGGCAAAAACCTCTAATCCTAAATTAAGTAGAAATGACAACAGTGGACATCGTTGTCTTATGGTGGATTTTTTGGGGAAAGCTTTTATTTTTCACTATTGAGTATTATATGGCTTTTGGTTTGAGATATATGACTTTATTATATTGAGGTAGGTTCCTTATTTAGTTTTTATCATAAATGGGTGTTGAATCTCAACAAATCTTTTGAGAATCTACTGATATTACCATGTGGTTTCTATCTTTACTTTTGTTGATACAGTGTATTACACTAATTGTTTCCATGTGTTAAACCATTCTTGTATCCCTGGGATGATCCCACTAGATCATGGTGTATACTTGTTATATACTGTCAAATTCAACTTTTTAGTATTTTGTTGAACATTTTTGTATTGATGTTATGAAGGATATTGGCCTGTAATTTTATTTTCTTATGCTATTTTTATCTGATTTTGGAATTAAGGTAATGTTGGCAACATGAAATGTATGGGAAGCACTCCTTAAGTTTTTACAAACATTTTGAGTAAGGTGAGTATTAATTCTTTAAAAGTATCATAAAGTTCTTTTGTAAACCCATCTAATTCTGGGATTCTGTTTTTAGAAGAATTTTGATTACTGTTTCAATTTTCATATTTGTGATTGGTTTGTTCAGTTTCTCTGCTTCTTCCTGGGTAAGTCTTGGTAGATTAGGTTGATCTAGAAAGTTATCCATTTCTTCAAGATTACTGAATTTATTGGCAAATAGCTGTTCATAGCAATCTCTTCTAAACTTTTTGTATTTTTGTGCTGTTGAGATTACTCCTCTTTCAGTTGTTATTCTGTTTATTAATGTTTTTCTTCTTTTAAAATTTTGTTGTTGTTAAAGATTTATCTGTTTTGCTTTTCTCCAAGAACCAACTCCTGGTTTCACTGAAAATTTTTTGTAGTATTTTTGATGACTATTTCACTTGTTTTATTATTTGCTTCCTTTTAGGTCTTATTTGTTCCTTTTTCAAGTAGTTTTAGGTTGTTTATTTGGGAGTTTTCTTCCCTTTTAATATGGGTCAGTATAGTTATTTCCTTTTAGGACCATTTTTGTTGCATCCTATAGGTTCTGGTAGGTTGTATCATTATTTTCATTCATCTCAAGGCACTTTTTAATTTCTAGTTTGATTTTCTCTTTTATTCAATTGCTATTAAGCAGCATTTAATACCTATGACTTCATAGTTATCCTGTTTTTTTCCTATAGTTGATTTCCAGTTTTATGGCACTCTAGTAAGAGAATATACTAGGTATAATTAACTGTTTAGTTGAAAATTGAATTCTGTCCCAATAGAAAAAAGTCTAAAAGGTCTTCCACGTGCACTTAAAAAAACTGTATGTAGCAGTGTTTGGTGAACTGTTCTAGAGATTTTTGTTAGATCTGTTTGATCAAGGGTCTCATTTAAAGCTGTTTCCTTATTTGTACTTGTCTTATTGATCTGTCTATTGCTAACAGTGAGTATTAAGGTCTGTTAGAATTTATATGTTGCTATCAGTATTTCCCTTAAGTTCTGATGTTGTTTTATGTATCTTAGTGCTCCATCATTTGGTGTATTAAGTGTTGTTTCTTTTTGTTGTATTAGACCCTGATTCATAATATAGTCTCCAACTTTTTTTTTTTTTTGGCTTTTTAATGGAAAGTCATGTTTGTTATCAGGTATAACTGGTCCTGTTTACTTGGGTTTCCATTTGCTTGTATAACTATCTTTCAACCTTTAATTCAAAGTCTATGTTTGTCTGTGTTGGTAAGATGAGCTTCATGTAAACAACAGAAAGCTGGTCTTTGTTCTATTATTCAGTCATTATCATCCTTTGACTTGTGAGCCTATCTACATTTGGCAATTATTGAAATTCAAGTGTTTACTGAGACTTGGTAAGGGCTTCCTATTATGTTTTACTTAGGTTCTCTCTACATTTTCTTATACATAGCTTTTATTATTTTTGGTTAGATGGTTCTGCTGAGTTTAATATATGATGGAAAATTTGTATGGCACTTTAGACAGTCTGGTCTCTGGTTAGAGCTAATGGGTCACAGCAGTTACTTTCCTCCATCTTCTCCATGTTAAGTAATTTAGGTGTCTGTTTCCTCAGTATTGATTGTTATGTTACTTGATAACACCTTTAGAATTTTTATATGGTGTTATATGGTGCTGACAAATCCTTTTAGCTTTAGTTTAGTTTTTTTTTTTTTAAACACTTCTTTCTATCTTGATTGTTAATCTTGAGTTGGGGCTAGAAGTCTTTCTTTCTTTCTTTTTTTTTTTTTAGATTTATTTATTTATTCATACAGAACTGGGGTACAGACCAGAGATGCGGAGGGTGAGAGGATTCACCAGAGACAGAGCGGGAAGCAGAACAGGCTGATCGATGAAGTACACTGCTGAGGGGAGCAGCGGGCGGGCCAGGAGAGGTCTGCCACGCCATGTGGTCACCTCCCGGGCAGGCGGGGATCGAACCCATGCGGAAGTGGCTCCAGTCTCTCAGTGCAGTGCCTCAACCCGCTGCGCCACCAGGGAGGGCCGGAAGTCTTTCTTTTTAAGTACCTTTGTGATATAATGCTTATGTTGATATATCTGCAGTTAGTCTGACTGGTGTTTCCCTACTGCATACCCCTTTTTTCTTTCCTTGATGTTTTTAGTATTCTGTCCTTATCATTGGTTCTTGATAGCTTTCTTTTAATTTGTCTAGGTTTATGTCTATACATTGTTTGGTACTCTTTGGGCCTCTTGAATCAAAACATCTGGCTCATTTCCTAGAGTGAAATGTTTTTCAGTGATTATTTCTTTAAATAGATTTTTCTATACTTTTGTTCTTGTCTTTCTGAATACCCATGATATATATATTACTTCTCCTCTAGTTGTCACAAAGATATCTAATGCTGTTTTCATTTTTCTCTCTACCTTGTTCTGTTGTTATGTTTGTCAGTATTGTGTTTTCAAATTTACTAATTCTCTCCAATGCTTCTGTTGGTCTATTATGGTCTTCAATTGTATTTTTAAAATCAGCTATAGTATTTCTTAATCCCATTATTTCTGAATGTAGCTGCCTCATATTTTCATTGCTTTTATTCTGTTATGTTATATCCTCCATTGTTACAAAGCATTTCTTTGTGGGGGGAGGCAAATATTTTAGATATGTAGCCTGAACAGATTGTGGTGTATTGGTTCTCAGCCTGGAGTGAGGATGACAGGTATTTCAGATACATAACTGTTGGAATAAGCCTTTCATTTAATAAAATGACCTTGTTTCTAGTAATATTGTATTAAAGTTTATGTTCTTTGATATATCCTCTCCTGATTTATCATTTGTGTTTCTATGACATTATCTTTATCCTTCCTTGTCCCTTTTCATCCTTTTTCTATTTTCAAATCTGATTTATCATATTGTGTCACTTGGTGTAGGGAGAAAATGGAGCAGAAGGGAATTAAATGTAGGAGAATAAGGGAGTAGATGTAAGCGGGGCAGAAAAGGGAAAGAGACGAGGGAAGAGGGAAAGGATGGAAGTTGAGGAGGAGGAAAGGAGGTAAGAAATACATACAACAAAATGTTAACTACATAAATGTTATGGAATTATGAATAATTTTTATTAAGATTTTTTTGAGTGTATTTTATAAATGTAAATACTAAATTTGTATTTTTGATAAACTTAAAAAAATAACCTAATAGAAATAAGCAAAAAACATGAAGAAGCTAGTTACTTAAGAAAAATAAAAACTGCTAAAAATTTATTAAGAAATTCTCTCATACTAGTATTTAAAGAAATTCAAAATAAATGAATTTTAATTTATTGAACTAAAAAATATTTTATGAGACTGAACTAAAAAATATTTTAAGAGGAAATTACTTAGAGTAAGCAAGGGTCCTAGGAAATATGCTTAGTTGTTGATAAAGGTATAAAACATAAGTTTTTTCTGGAGAACAAGTTAATGATTTTTATAAACATCCACATCCTTTAACCTAGCATCTCCCTTATTTTGAATTTATTTTATAGAAACAAACAAAAAACCAGTGGCTGTTTCTACTATTTAGCTCTAACTACCAGAGGATATTTAGAAGAATATTCCATAAAATTTGAACTGTATGGTACCTAAAATTTAATCCAAAGGAATGAATCTAAATGTTCAAGGAGTATGTTAGAATATATATGAAAATGATTGTATAGTACATACCGATTTTCAATAGTGTCTTTTTCTAAGTGTTAGAATTTCTAAGTATTAGAAACCTTATTTTCTTCTTATTTGTGTTTTCTAAATTGTCTATACTATAAAAAATAATTACTATCTTTGAAATTGAAAGCAGTTAAAAATAAACTAATAAACTGCCTTAAATTTTATTTGTACTTGGATAATTTCCAAACCCTATATCCAACATTTAGGTAACTTCCTGAACCAACTTATAGACACATAGCAGTCAATTATACCAGCAAGCATCACCTAGGACTACAGCCTTTCCCTTCTTGGTCCAAACTATGTGTAGTGCATTGTCTCACACAAGCTAGAAATAAAAAGAATAGAGGGAATGGGAGTATTGTCTTTAACAAGAGATATATTATAGCCAGGGAAATAGTTATGTATATATAGTGCCAAGAAAAATAGACAATTCTAACTGGGGGAATGAAGATGTGTTCTCATACTAATAACCCACAATTTGCTCTTCTTTTCAATGTACTACTGTACTATGAAGGTCATAAAAAAGCTACAATCCACATCTGTTCCTACATTTCATATAAATGGCTACTAATACTACTTATTTCTTATTACCACCTTACAGGTTACCTTACCTTTGTTTTGCGGGGGTAGCATCCTTTCTCTTGGCAGACTATAATTGCAGATTTAGTGCCTATCTCCTTTCTTATACTGAGACTATGTATGAGGTTATGTTGGCCTTCACTAGGTGTTACTTCACTAGGTATTACTTTTCAATCTTTATGTGTTTAACATTTTGGGAAAGGAAACTTGGAAATCATACCTGGTGGGATTCCTTTTGTCTTCCTCAGAGATTAAAAACCAAACAAAATCTGCGTAGCTCATTCTTCCTTCTTTCTGTACTGTTTTCCCCCTGAAGAAAACACATAGTTATATAATTCCTGAGCAATTATTCAGGTACATTTGATAAGACTGAGATGATAGATGTAAATGACAGACTAAGAAATAACATAATATCTTTCTTTGAAGAAAAGTTGAAATTTAAAAAATAATTAGAATGCTAAGAAACATCACAAAAGGAAATCCATTCATGACCTATCTTGTTTTCAAAGGTTTAGCAGGTAAAAGCAGAAGACATTTGCAGATCTGAAGAAAGAAATCTCATTTCCAATTTGAATGCAAATATTAAGAATTACTGTCTTATATGAAGTCATGACTATATGTTTTGTAGGGTATCACGTGATCCATAGTGATGCTAAATTATGCAGGAAATCTTGCAAACAATGAGATGGTTACAGTATTACTTACAATTTAACGCAAATGACTTTTCTTACCTTGTTACTGCTCCAGAGAATATCCTTTCAATAATCCTGTTTGAAGAAGCTAAATATAAATAAGAAAGTAAGTGCTTGTTAGAAGCAAGTTCCATAAAACAGTAACTAGCTAAATTTTTACTCATGTACAATTTACACTTTTTAAAAGTAAGAATTTGAGAATATTTAATTAATGAATGATTTTAAAAAGCACAGGCAAATTGATTTGCTTGACAGTGGGAATATATTATATAGTTGAATGTCAAGTTCTGAACATCCTGGGGCAGGTAAGACAAAAATGCATAAAATTTATATTGAACTTTTTACCCAATATGACAGTTTTTTCTCTTAAACCAGGCAGATTTTGTTCTAGCATTAAGTTCAAAGGGTACTGATCATTAGCTTCTAACATAAGGAATTCTGAGTAAAACAATGCAGAATGTTTCCACTAGAATTTTATAAAAGTTATCAAAACATACCATAAGCATATTTTTCTCATATTCTCATTCTATGAAAGTCTAGTATATAATATGACTTAAAATGTATGAGTTTTAGAAATCTCATCAGCAAATTTTATTCAAAGAGGGAAAGAAGTTAGCACATATACTAGTATGTCCTATTTGATAACAGATCCTAGAGAAAGCGCCTCATTGTGGGTTAAAGATAACCAAAGACATCACTTTAATGGAGCTCCTCAGGGATCTTAGGCCTTGGAATGTAAGAGAATCTGTTCTCTTAACAAATGCTCCAGGCAGTGGCATCTACACTAAAATTTCAGGACCAGTGAGTCAGCAGTTATCAGCATTTATCTCATCTGCACAGTCAGATACAATCAACATAAAGGCAAGTTAGTTTGGTTGAAGAATGTTGGGAATATGGGTGGAAGGACAGCAGTTCCTGACCACATACGAAAGCTAATACCAGGGCTCTCTAGACTTTGTTGAGTATTGGTTTAAGATGTTAGTAACTTGTAATAGATAAATAAATTTTACACTGATGTGGATCTTTTCATATCACCTTCAGATAAAGACTCAACAATTTATCAAAACCAAGACATTACTCACTTAACTTCAAACCCCTTTTTCTGCTTCTAAATAAATAAAACGATCTTCTCCTAATCTAATTTACAGTTTCTTAGGTGGCTCAATGGATTAAAGCCCAGCACCGTGGAGCTACCTGTAGCTGCTGCAGTATGAGTTCACTCCCCGCCCCGGTGGTGACCCACATGGCGTGGCAGTTCTCTCTTGACCTGCCTGCTGTTCCCCTCAGCAGTGTACTTTGTCAATCTGCCTGTTCTGTGCCCCACTCTATCACTGGTGAATCCTCCTACCCTGTGATTCTGGCCTGTACCCCAGTTCTTGTATGCGTAAATAAAAAAAATTAAAAAAAAAATTCTTAGCCTTATAAAGAGGACTTGATTAGATAGAGAATTTAAGAAATGGGAACTCTTATACTTGCCTTCTTCAAAATGATTAAGTCTTAGAATTTATAGATTCACTTACCTTGATCATTGTAATGAGATAGATCAGCCTGGCTGATGTAGAGGTCATGATCACAATCTAGTTCCCAGAATTTACAATAAATAACATAGAAATGTTCATAGGAGAAGTAATCTGTGATCTGGTTTATATCTTCTTCTTCCTCCAAAAGGGCCAGAGTCTGAAATAATATGAAAATAAGGATTAATTTATTTTAAAATTCTGAATACCAGCTTTGGCCACTATACAAAATAGAATAAATTTTTATTTTGAGTTGAATCAAAAATTTTGGTTTTAGTACCAATTCAGGAACTTTAATATTTAACCTCATCTTACTTTGAATCAGCTCATCTAGTCTATAAGCACTTACAGCTATATAGTATTCTTAGCAGAGGGTTAAGTACTCTGGAACATTTAAAAACAGGAAAAAGGGAAAGATTATTACCAAGGGGATTGCAGCCTATCAGAGGGATCCAGACAGGCAAACACAGAACAACTGGACAACAGGCTTAGATACATGGTCGAAAAATGACACTGCTCTTAATTTTAAAAGTTATGAGAGCAGTGTATTATGAAAAGTGGGTAGCCACATATAGGTTTTAGTTTAGTAATGAAATCCAGTTCAGCATAAAGGTTACTTACGTAAACTATTGTGATGGCATGTGGTGCCTATCATAGAAGATATGGGGATAGAACTTTTGGGATGGGCCCTGAATTGGAAGTAAACCTTGATCTATTTTCTCTAATTGTGTGTCACCAAGGAAAACACCAGAAATAATGATTTTGAACCCTGAAATCTATAATCAGCCAAATTATCATTTAAGAGGGCAGATCAATGAAGACATTTTTAAAAATGAAAGATTTAGAAAGATGAAAGAGACTATAAAAGCTGTCCCTAAAAGGTAACTCTAAAATTTAAAAAGGTTGAAAAAAAGGCTGGACAAACATATATACTAAGTACACTAACTAAAAGAAATGTTCTAGTATCTTAAAAAAATAAAATGGAATTCAAGGCTAAAAAAATAAGGGAAAAAGATGACTGTCATAATGCAAATGTATTACTTTGATAAAAATTATTTTCTACAATGTAATTACTGGAAAACCTAAGTGTGCTGGCAAACTGAAAATAACAAATTATTAAATTATGATAAAACTCACTCAGTGGAAGGTTATAAAATTATAATATGTAAAATAGTATAAATTATAAAGTATACATAAAAGCAAGGGAAATCCTGTATGAGGTAAAATACATGATATAAGGTATATACATGATACAAGGGTGTAAAATTATGTAAAATTCTAAAACCTACATATGCATATAAAGAAGAACATAAGCACATATAAAAATGATCCTCGTTCTATGAGAGGATAAAACTGTGATTTTTCTTGTTTCCTTATTACTGGGTTGGCTCTAGAATAAGGTAAGAAAAATAGAGTATATAAGATTGTTTATTTGTCCAAGCTTCATTCAGTATGATCCATTTAAAATATAAGATTTATTTCAAGTATAGACAATTTTTCTTTTATACTTATTTTTAATATTCATTTATTTATTTATTTATTTTTTGAGCAGAAGAACTGGGGTGTAAGCCAGAAGTGCAGGAGGAGGAGAGGATTCATCAGAGACAGTGTGGGGAGCAGAATAGAGTGGATTTACTGAAATATATTGCTAAGGGGTGCAGCAGGTGAGACAAGAGAGGTCTGCTGCACCATATGAGGGTTAACTCAGGCCACAGAGGTGACAGTGCTGAGAATTACACCCTAGACCACCAGGGAGGCTCTGTACTTGTTAAAGGGAGTATTAGCTACTAGAACATGTTGAGCCTGTTTCAGCTACTAGAAATTAAATAATCAGGCATAAAGATTAGCTCAGTAAAAGGCTCCCACTAGTGATCAATTTTCTTTATTATGTAAAATAAAATAATTTAATAAAATGTATACTATTCTTAAGGGGAATTTTCAGGAATTTTCTCTGGCAGGAGCTGTATGGGGATTGCTGATGATCAAGACAGAATTCCTCTTCTTTTGAAAAGACGTTTCCAACCCAGCTCCGTATTACCCTTTAGGCCTCACCACTGGGAGTTTATGGCAACTTAAGGGTGTTCTGCAGTTCCTGCACATGAAACTTTCATTTTTCTGGGCCTTTGCTTATGCTGCTTCCTCTATATAGAATCTCCTTTTCTTTTAATGTTTTATTCTGGGTAAACTCCTGATATTAAAGTCAAGATCACATGGCATTGTCTTCTGTGAAGCCTCTGAATACCCATACATTTCTGGGAAATTTTCAAGGGCAGGTGTGCCTATCTATGCACATTTCTTTTTTACTCCACAGAAAATACTTTAACATAGAAATACATTGTTGTTCACTTTCCCCCTCTACCCCCAATTCCCAAAACATTCTAGTGGCCCACTATAGATATTTGATATGATTTATGACTGAAAGTAGTCCCTTTACATACAATAAACACTCAAATATTCTTAAAATTTTAAGCTTTTAAAAAAATGTTCTTTAGATATAAATTCCAAAGAGACATACTTGCAAAAAGTTGCTTTTTCTTATCTCTGTTGAAGTAATTTTTCCACTCCAAGATCTGTTGACTGTATAGAATATTCTTTGAATAACCTGATTTCAAAAGGAAAACAAAATTAAATAAAAACATTAAAGATACCTATTACTACACTAAAGGCAACCGTATAAGCTTTGAGACAAGCTAAGTTTTGAGTTTACGATTATGTTAGGTAAACTTTCCAGTAAAAATTAACACTGTATTTTAAAACCCTAGATCTATATATTTTGTTTTTATCCCTGCAATTCCCAGAAGAAAATGAAAATTCCCCCACAAATCTGTATTTCACAGCTACCTACATGTCACTTCTTTGTCTCTCATCTCTTTTTTTTTTTTTAAGGATTTATTTATTTATACAGAACTGTGGTACAAGCCAGAGGTGTAGGGGTAGTGAGAGGATTCACCAGAGACAGAGTGGGGAGCAGAACAGGCCGACTGACAAGTACACTGCAGAGGGGAACAGTGGGTGGTCAGGAAAGGACTGCTGAGCCTGCCATCACCACCTCCGGAGCTGGGGATGGAACTCACACTGAAGCGGCTGCTACTCGGCTGCGACTTGCTTGCAGTGCTGCGTCCTCACCCATTGCGCCACCAGGGAGGGCCCCCATTTCTCATCTTACACAGTGATGCCTAATGCAAATAGTGCTTATTGGAATGCATTATGTTGGAAAGGAAAATGAGGCGAGAAGTGTATGTTGGACTGGCTTAACAATAAATGTATCAGAATGACTGTCAAAAGTATATGATTCATTATTCTGGTTACTATAGTCTTAATCACAAGAATCTTGAGTCTTAAAGTCTTGCACAATCTTTCTCCACAGAGAAACTCATCCCAATTCAAATATTTTGATAATACATTGGAATAATTTATATTCCAATGAGTCCACATTTGGGCATGAACAATTTTGTTATTATTAGCTAGGGTTTTAATGTGTTTAACAGATATGAAACTGGGGAGAAGATCCTGGGCAGGATGGGAGATGAGGGGACAGGCAGTAAACATGTCTTTAAAGTTGAGGATGCACATGCTGTGGTGAGGGAGAGGCCTGAAGAGGAAGACAGAGGCTTCTGGTCTGGAAACTATAGTGCATTCTTCACTTTACCTGGGGGGGTCATTACTACCCATTAGTTTCCCATTCTACTTGGTGTTGTTTTCCAAATGGAAGCAGTCATGAAAGGAGTAATTTAGACACTTTATTGGGTACTCGATTTTTAATGTCTAATTGTTTTATATAGAAATTGACATATATAATAGTGTAAAATGTCTAATAGTATAGACATGGTAGTTTTATCATGGGAGAAGTTGTATTTCCTTTCAAAGTTATTTTAGTAGGTAACAATTTAGTAGAAGAACAATAAAAGGAAGATATTTAGACATATTTGGGTAAAGAGTAGGTTAAAGAGGGAGTAAACCACTGTTCTGTTTCTGGACTCTTTAGCAAAGAGTGATTCTCAAATAGAATAGAAAAGTATCATCAGTATAAAGATCCAAACTTCTACCTCAGCATCCCTCATTCCTGCTATCAATGCTGATTCCTTTTGATTCTCCAAAAACAGTTCGATTGTCATACTTTAGCAGTAGCTATAGAACTGGAATGGGGTAGTATTCTATCATCTGTATTCCTGAGGTCACCAAGTCTCTTGGGTCATTCTATGGTTATATACTAAACATCGGTGAAGTTACCTTTGTATTCTAAGGAACCAGGTGTTTCTTGGCTTGTATTCCATAGGTAATAGAATGCTTCACATGTATCAGATGGACAATTATTGCTTTGGCACACAACTTTATACAAATTAATATAAACATAAAGAATGTCACTTTTTAATGAAACACACCTGAAATTTGTATGTTATAATGCAGTATTACTTTAAAAAGTTCATGTATTATAACTCAAAGTCCCCTCTCTCAAGTTAAAGTAATTTTCAATACATATTATTATATTGAATTTTCCTTTGTGCACTTTATTCATATTTTGTTCTTAACTTCTTGATTTTAACTATAAATTTATCTTTAAACTCTTTTTAAGTTCCCTATCTAAATTTTAGGTTTATAAAATTCTCAAATATTTTATTTTATGGAAGTACCATTATAATTAAAATTATAAAAATTTAACCTGAATTTGTTTTTGCTTTTTGTTCCTTTCTGTTCTTTTTGAAAGACTATTTTAAATTTGCAGATGTTTTTGTCTGCTACGTAGTGGATATTTTTCGTCTCTACTAATAATACTTGTGTAATACTATTTAAAAAACAAAAAAACAAACTTATTTTCCATAGCCCAAATCTGCTTATTTAGTGGCCCCACTTCATCAGCACGGCTTGGTTTCTGTATTACTGATTCAGCATTTTAGCTCATCAAGTGAGGGAGGGCTACCACCTAGTGGTGAGATTGTATAGTTGTTCAATTCCCCGCCTTTGAGCTTTTAGTCCACCACTTTTATTAGATAAAAAAAGCAATTACTCACAATTGTAAAATTTGAGATAAATTAAAAAAATAATAGTTTATTACCAGTAAATTAATAAACTTTTCTTGTCAACTTTCTCTTTCCATGTACTTCACTGTAAAATCTCTAGTTCAGAGTTATAGGTGACTGGAATGGAAGTAAGAGTTTGGTGAGACTGTCAAAGTTCTGATGAAAAAATAGAATACAGACACAGATAATACAAAGAGATCTCTCATTGTAGGTGACTTAAAATGCAGATGACAAATCTCAAATGCTGGAAGTCTGGGCCTACTTGGCAGGGAGTAGTTCATGGTTTCCTGGTTCACTCTTTGTTTAATATGGCTCTAAAAAGTATTTCTTCATAGTCTTTTGCAGAACTTGAACTTAAATAAACATATCAAATAAAAATTAGTTATTTGTCAAGAGGACAAGACCTCAAAGGGAAAGTGTTAAGATGTTAGTGATGAACAGTTTCCACCACAATAAAGTACTTTAGGAAGCACTGTCCTGAACAATAAAAATCTTGGCATTTCAGCCTGAAGTGATGGATCAGGCCAATCTAGCTACCCAATTAGATGTCATCTGAGCAATCCTCAGGAATCCTCAGAAATACCTCCAATGTCAGCATCAATGTCACAAGGCATCATTTATTTAAAAATTCATGTGAATACCTCTTTCCTCAAAAGTCAGCATGTGCCAGTTAGGATAAGCAGTCTTTCATTCACTGGCAATTTCTTTGCGTGGCATGTGAAATTGCAAACTCAAGGGCTACAACTTGCTGGGATTTCCAATTTTCATTTTTATTCAACATCAAAAGACTTCATATCTCAATTGTCAACTCTTTTCTGGAAATAAAGGAGACTATGGAATGACTTCATTTGCAATCTCTTATTTGGGTGGTAATGTTCTTTTTTGCTATATGCCTAGTTGATGCTGTCTTTACAGTTTAAAAACAGCTGACAAAATAAATAAAAGTTCTTGCTGTAGCATAATGACAAACTGGAAATAAAATTGTACAATTTTTCTTTATCATATAGGTGCCATGCACATTGCTGTTGTTAGCAATTTTTGCCATTATAAAGCGAAAAATCGAGTAACTCTAGCAGATAAAAGATAATTCATTTTTCTATACTGTGTGCCACAGATACTACATAACACTCAATAGGATCAATTTATAAATTAATGTTGTGGCTGATAGAAATACTGTGATATTATTTGTTTTCTTATTAGCAGTGTAAAGAATGATGTCTCTAATTTGGTTATTTTTATGCTTTCACACAAAAAAGAATTTCATACTGGAAAGCTTATTTTTTTCCCCTATTAAAACTCATTGCACTTTGAAATAATGCAAAAGTTTCAATGACTGCAGGTCATTATTTAAACAAATTTCATAACAGAAAAGGCACTGGGAGAACAGTCCATTAAAATTCTGTTTCCAAATACTCATTGTGATACTTTCATTTGCACTCTTTCTTTTCTATTAAAATTATATTATTAACTGATATATACAAGAGTTGAGCTATAGGCCGGGGTGGTGGTGAGAGGTTTCACCAGAGTCAGAATGAGGAGCAGAATAGGCAGATCTTCTGAAATATACCGCTGAAGGGAGCAGTGAGTGATACAGGAGAGGTCTGCTGCACCATGTAGGTCACCTCCCTGACCGGGGACGGAACTTATGCTGCAGTGGCTGCTGATAGCTTCATAGTGTTCAGACTTAACTCCTTGCATGACCAGGAAGGCTCTGCACTTTTCTTTTTTGGATAATATCCAATGAGCAGAACAGCAAATTCACTTTCATCAGTAAATACAAATTTACATTCTATAATCTCATTTCATCTTGCTTACTTATGATATCATGATGTTGTTTAGGGCTGCCCTATTATCATTAATAACATTACAAGTATTTTATATTTTAACAACACCTTCTGAATAATGGATTCATTTTGTGAATGGGGAATAAAGCAGCATAATACTAACAATAAATATAAAAAAATCTAAGTAATAATATGCAAGTGCCATGAAGATGTCAGCAAAGATAATTTAGTTGTGTTATGTTTGCTAATTGACACTTGTTTTGTCCAATGATTAACATAATAGAATTTCTTGGAAAATGTGAATTACATGTGAACTTGGAGTCATAAAACTTCTTGGGAACCACTTGCTGGATGACATAGGGATCATATTTCAATACATATAATACTAGAAAGCATACAGAAAGAAAATTTATCTCTACTGTTGTGTACTTTAACGTCTCTTCTGAGAATAAATTCTAGTGAAAAGTTCCTTTGGTTCAGAATTTTCTGAATTGAGAGAAGGCTGAACTAGGTTAATTTTAAGATCTTTTCTAACTCTTAGGATTCTAAATTATGCTATTAAGACATTCTTTATAGAACAGTTAACAATCATAACCTAGTAATTTCCTTTGGAATTAAGGCCAGAGTTAATGTGTAGAATTGTTAAACATGAATAATTTCACCTATTTATTAATACATAAGCTTTGTGTATCTGTTATTTGCCAGGCACTTTTCAAGGTACTCAGTGAAAAATACCAACAATGTCCCTGCTTTCATAGAGATTAATTATAGAGAAGATAGACAACAAACAAATGAATCATCTAAATATAAGAAAGAGCAAAGATGAAAAATAAACCAGAACAAAGGATAGTGAAAGTGAGGGATGGGGATAGAGGAAGAAAGATGAAGAAGGCAGAGGGTGATCAGCAGAGGTCCCACTGAGGAGGGAATATCTGAGCATGTATCTGGATGAAGTGAGGGAGTGAATCATGTGGAAATCTACAGGAAAGTATTCCAGGCAGAAGAAAGAGTTCAGAATATATTGACTGAGGTGGAAGTGGGTTTGGTCTATTCCAGGAATAGAGAGGCCATTGCTGCTGAAACAGAGCAAGCAGTAGGATAGTAGGAGGTAAGAACAGAGAGCAGGGGATATAAAGGGATTATGGAGACTCTTGGCAAGAATTCTGGATTTTAATCTGGGTGAATGGGAACCTTTTGAAGAGTCTGAGCATCAGAATGATAAGTTCTAACTTACTTCAGAGGATTACTCTGCTATGTGAAGACAGGGCTGTAGGACAATGAGGTTATAAACAGGAAGCCAATGAGAAGTAATCCAAGTGAGAAGCTAGGGTGACTGGGTCAGAGTGATTGTGAAGAGGTAAGTTAGCATAGTGCTTGTCATTAGCAGGCAAAAATACTTTCTGATAGTCTTAGATGACAGTGACACCTTCTGGCTCAAATACAGTTTTATAAAGTTTTGTGACAAGAAAGAGTCAACATAAAAGCAAAGAATGCAGTTCCTATAGGAGAAAAGAAATGCATTCTGACAGAACCCAACAAATGCATGCCCAGAAGACCCTTCTAGCATCTTCCTCAGAGGAAACTAGTTTGTTTCCTCTGAGAGCCAGAGGCATGGGACACTTCACTTGAGTGTAGTTATGAATATGAGGTGTGCTCTGAAGTTAGTCTGTGGGATTCCTGCAAAGATAATCTTGGTGCCAGAGCAGAGAAAGTACCATGAGCAGAGCTGCAGTGTGAACCATGGGTCTTTGTGCTCTCAGTCATAATTCATGAATTTTGACTTAACAAATGAGGCTGTGCATGGGAAACAGGGAATGGGAACACTTCATAAAACTGGGGGTTGCAATTATGGTATTTTAAATTTTTACATGATTTCTGATTACACCTAAGCTATTTCTCATTATTTCTAGTTCTAACTTTGAGGTAATAGATTTTTTTCTGGAAAGGCTGCTGAAAATTCTTTTCAGTTTTAGTTAAGAGTATGGAAGATCACTGGGCATCAATATACATGACAAAGCAAAAGATACACCCCATAAGACCATACAAAATGCATAAATTACAGTAAGTCCTCACTTGACATCACTGCAACTAAAAGAGAAATGAAGTAGAGAGAAAAGTAGGTCATAAAACAATTCATTCAAAGCTGGTTAGCTTTTGTTTTTTCATCAATATTACAACAAAACAACTAAATAAATTTTATAGTACATTCCCAATCTACTTAAAATGATCATTATAGCCTGTGTTACCTTTTTCATAAAGATCTGAAAGTCTGGATATTAGGCAGTGATAAAAGGAACATTTATGGAGTATATTAAGACAAAAGAGAACTCAGCCTACTGTTGTAATGTAGCGGGAATGAAATTCTGGAGCATCTTTCAGGAACGTGAGGCCAGGGTGTGTATCCACCACATCCTGAAAAAGATCAAAAACAAAACTAAATTAACAAACATACAAGAAAACCTCTAAATGCTTATGGAAGTTTTTTATTCTTGTAGATTAAGTTGCCAGTTGAGTAAATTATGAGTATTCACCTAAAACCCATTATGTTTAATACTTTATTAATTTTAAGTTTTATTACAAACACACTTGCTTATATGTGCCTTTTCTATATCATAGTACACTTCCATAAAGTCAAAACTTTAATTAAGCTGTATGTAGTGATTTGTTCTAGCACATCAAGGCATTCAGAGAAATTCATTCTACTGATGTTGGCAGGAGTTGCAAAGTGAAAATTAAACAGAAAAGGATGGCAGATAGAAGCTAATGAGAATTTTTAAAAAGCCACAAATAATATAGCCAAATATTGCAGTTTGAAATCAATGTTAACTTGTGTGAAATAATCAGAAGAATTGTGTGGACAAATCTATCTTCAATTGAGGATTTTATTCTGAATCTGGTATCTTGTTCTCATGGAAGACTTAAGTGTATTGAAACTTTGAAATAATTTTTATTTTCTAACTATATTTTATAGCACTTTGAGTGAACTTAGGGAACTTGTTAGAGATAACTACTGTTAATTTAACAACCAGAGGCAACAGCAGTGTTAACACATAGATATAATCTATTAATTGTCTAGTCACCAATGAATGGACATCAGTTATATCTGCTTCTTTTTCAGAATACTTAACTATACATGCATACCATGTTGCCTAAAACCAACAGACCTAATTCAACATTATATTTGGAAATAATTTTAGACTTACAGTAAAATTTACAACAATAATACAAATATTTTCTATTTTCCTTCTCCCAGCTTCCCATATAGTAACAACTTATAAGCCACAGTAGTTATCAAAACTACTAATAAATACACTAGATTTAATTCAAATTTTCGCCAGCTTTCCAATTACGGCTTTATATTGTTGCAAGTTCCCATACTTTTTAAAAAAAGGTTTATTTTAATTATTTATGCATACAAAAGTTGGTAGGTAGGTCAGAGATGTGGAGGAATGGGTGAGAGGGTTCACCAGAGACAAAGTGGGGAGCAGAACAGGTGGACTGACTGAAATACACTGCTGAGGGGAGCAGCAGATAAGATAGGAGAAGACTGTTGTGCTGTGTGCATTAGCCCCTGGTTGGGAATTGAACTTATGCTGCAGTGTCTGCTAATAGCTTCATAATACTGAGATTTAAACCCTTGTGCCACTAGGGAGGCCCTGCATTTAATTCTTGTGACTCATTGGTCTCTTCTGATTTGTAACAGTTTTTCCTTGTATTTCATGATTTTGACCTTTTCAATTAGTTCTGGTTAGTTGTTTTTTATAATTTCTTTCACTGTAGTTGTCTGTTTTCTCATGGTTAGGTTACGGTTACACACTTTAAACCAGTACAATAGAAGTGATATGTCCTTTTTCAGTCATACTAGGATTATGATGCCTTTTTGTAATATTTTGTGATGTTGTCTCTGATCACAACTGGTTGAAGTATTGTCTGCTGGTCTGTCACCATTAAATTCTGTTTTCCCTTATGGGGGAGATATTTACAGACTGCTAATACCTCATTTCTCTGCAATTTTTTGCCCTGTGAAATGTCAATGGTGGAGGTAATCTGTGCTTTACCTACAACTTTTTCATTTATTAACTGGAATTCTATAAGGAAGAGCTGAATCTTCCCATGTATTTACTATTCAGTTTAAATCAGGATAGATTTATGAGTGTTAATTTTATAATATGGTTTATAATCTAATACTATGATGTTTTGCTGCTTAAAGTGATCTAGCTTTAACCACTGGTAAATTTATCAGGTTGGTTCTTTGTCCTCTTCATATTCCCCATCTTTTTTTGAGTACTTCCAAATTTTTGTATCATATGATGGTTCAGACTTATCTTAATTTTCCTTGCTCCAGGACTGGAATTAACCTTTTCAGAAATCCCTGGTTCCTTTATTAAGAGAATGGTTTTTAGAAACAAAATCTGGGTGCTAAGTGTGCTCATTACTAGTAGGGTATCTTTGTTCCTGGGACCTATTAGCAGAAAAAATGGAATATATCCATGCACACACAGTTAATATTTCCTTATCTCACTTTATACATTAAAAACTATATAATCATATAGCTTATTCTGAATTTAATTCAGTATCACAAAATTCACTGTAGCCTTACCACTTCTCTTTCTAATTATGGCAGAATTACCAACCAGAAATCCCAACAGAGAAGTTTACTAATAAGAGTATCATATAGAGTGCTTTTTGTTTTCGGTTTTATGGTATTAAGTAAAAATACTTAATTTTTTTTCTTTTAGTTTAGAGGGATGTCATTGAGCTTTTTCTTAAGATTTATTTATTTATGCATACAAAACTGGGGTACAGGCTAGATGTGCAGGGGCAGTGAGAGGATTCACCAGAGAAAGCAGGGAGCAGAACACACAGATCAACTGAAATACACCGCTGAGGGGAGCAGTGGGTGCAACAGGAGAGGTCTGCTGTGTCATATGGGTCACCTCCCTGGCTAGGGATTGAATTGCTGAAATGGCTGTGGCTGCAACTAGCTTCATTGTACTGCACTTTAATCTGCTGCACTACCAGGGAGGGCCCTAAAATACTAATTTTTAAGGTTACTTAAGATTAGCACTTTCCTTTTTCTCCTCAATCTTCTTTAATGTGATTGCAATATAGTTCAATTTATTTGTTACATTTCTATTCTATTCTAAGTCATTATTTCTTAGAGGGAAAGTTTGTGCAAAATATCATTTATAGTTCTAAGAGTACAAGCTAACCTAGAATTGGCATCTTAGTAATACCTAGTTTTCTCTCTTAAAGATATTTCTATTCATTTATAGAAATATTGATTTCTCTCAGAAATATTTTGCTGTTTTCAATGTACAGATCTTGAACAACTTCTATCAGATTCATCTGTAAGTATTTAACATTTAGGGTTGGTGATGTAATCCCAGCTGTTTATCTTTTCCTTCCTTTTCTTTGCTTTAGGTGATGTGCCTTTAAAGATGTTATTAAATATATATCATGTAATGTTTTGCCTGTATTTTCTCCTATATATTTTCTGGTTTCAGGTCATATGTCTAACTCTTTAATCCATTTTGAGCTGCTTTTTGTGCATGGTGTGAGACAGTCGTCCAACTCCATTCTATTGCATGTAGCAGTACAGCTTTCCCAGCACCATATATTGAACAAACCCTCTTTGTTCCATTGCATAGTCTTTGTTCCTTTGTCAAATATTAGTTGTTTATAAGTCTGTGTGTTAATTTCTGGGCTTTCTACTCAATTCCATTGGTCTGTGTGTCTGTTTTTGTCCCAAGTCCATGAAGTTTTAAATATTGTGGCTTTGCAGTATAGTGTGAAGGCTAGAAGTGTGATACCTCCATTCCCCCTTCATTTTATTAAGGAAAGCTTTGGCTATTTGAAGTGTCTTGTGGCTCCATATGAGTTTCATTAGTATTTGTTCTATTTCTTTGAAGAATGTCATTGAAATTTTTATTGGAATAGCACTGAATCTGTAAATTGCCTTTGGTAGGGTGACTGCCTCTATTTTTGATGCCACATCTATGAAATTATTACTAAATACACTACATGAAGTTTTCTCCATTTTCTTCTAGGGGTTTTACAATTTTATATTTAGATTCTTAATCAATTTTGAGTTAGTTTTTATATATTTAAAAGAAAACATCTCATTTAAAACAAACATTTCATTTCATTCTTTTACATATGTAGATCCAGTTTTCCCCAAGCTGTTTGTTGGACAATCTTTTACCACTGTGTAATCTGGGCTGCCTTACTGAGGATTATTTGCCAATAATTGATTTCTTGGCTCTAAAGTCCATTCCATTGGTCTGTCTGTATGTTTGTTTGTATGCCAGTACGATACTGTTTTGATTGCTTTAGCTTGTAATAGGCATTTTGAAGTCTGGAAGTATGAGACTTCTGGTTTCATTCTTTCTCAGAATGGTTCTGGCTATTCAAAGTTCTTTAAATCTTAGGATTGTTTTTTTTCTATCCCTGTAAAGAATACTATTTTAAAATAGCTTTACTGAAGTATTTACTAACTATACACACAAACAGGCACATCTTTAATACACTCAATTTGGTTAGTGTGGACATATGGAAAAAATCACCACAATAAAGGTGATAGACCTATCTAACAATAAAGGGGACAGATATATCTAACACTGCTAATAGTTTCCGTGTGCTTTTGTATGTTTTTGGTAAGAATACGTAACATAAGATCTACCTTCAATACATTTCCACCTGTACAATACAACATTGTTAACTATAGACATTATGCTGTACACCAGGACTCTAGAATTAATCTATCTTGTATAACTGAAACTAAACTTACCAAACAACAGCTCCGTGATTCCACTTACTTGTGGTATTAAAGTAGTCAAACTCATGAAGCAGAGAACAGAATGGTGGTTGCCAGGGGCTATGAAAAGGGACTACTGGAATTTTGATAGTGCCCAAAATGAATCTATAGATTTTCTTGGTAGTATGTGTATTTCATAACAGTAAGGCTCTCAGCCCTCCCTGGTGGCGCAGTGGGTTAAAGCAGAGACTGAGAAGCTAAAGCCACTTCTGCATGAGTTCGATTCCTGCCTGCCCCGGAGGTGACCACATGACGCGGCAGACCTCTCCTGACCTGCCCACTGCTCCCCTCAGCAGTGTACTTCATGGACCTGCCTGTTCTTATCCCCGCTCTGTCTTTGGTGAAACCTCTCGCCACCCCTGAGCCTGTGGCCTGTACCCCAGTTCTGTATGTACAAATAAATAAAACTTAAAAAAAAAAAATAGTAAGGCTCTCAACCCATAAACATGGAGTATCTTTCCATTCATTTGTAAACTTTCTTACAATTAGTGTTAGTGACATACTCTTCCCTTTTTAAAAAATTTTTAACCTAGTGAAATTATAATTATAGTTATAATTATGGTACATTTCTTTCTGGTAGCATATGTTTGAGCTTTGCTTTCTTTGGTCTAATTTTTACACTTGGGGGGTATTTATATCACTTACATTGAATGTGAATATTGACATGATTAGGTTTAAGTCTATCATCTTGTTATTTGTCCTACCCACTCTTGTTCCTTTTCTTCCAGACTTCTTTTAGTTAACTTAGTATTTTTTATGATCTTTCCACTTTCTTTTTTTTTTTGGCTTTTTAGTGATAGTTCTGTCCTTTCAGCAGTTGTATTATAGGTTACTGCATACATTTTTTTTTTTAAAGATTTATTTATTTGTGCATACAGAACTGGGGTATAGGCCAGAGGCTCAGGGGCGGCGAGAGGCTTCACCAGAGACAGAGTGGGGAGCAGAACAGGCAGATGGACGAAGTACACTGCTGAGGGGAGCAGTGGGCGGGTCAGGAGAGGTCTGCCACGCCATGTGGTCACCTCCGGGGCAGGCGGGAATCGAACTCATGCGGAAGCGGCTTTAGATTCTCAGAGCAGTGCTTTAACCCGCTGCGCCACCAGGGAGGGCCCGGTTACCGCATACATTTTAAACTTACTACAATCTACTTTTCACTTTTCACTTTATCTGTAAACCATACAATAATATACTTCCCATTTCCTTCAATCCTTTGTTAGTGTTTTCAAATTATACTTAAACATATGTAATAAACACTACAATACACTGTAAATAGCTTTGTTTAGCTAGATAGTTTTCTTCTAAGGAGATCAGAATAATAGGTATTATCATATTTACTATGTAGTTGCCATTTCTGGAACTCTTTATTCTATTGTATAGGTTTATTTTTCCATTTGGCATTATTTTCTTCCTTGCTTAAACAACTTGAAAAAAAATTTCTGGTAGTGCATTTCTGTTGGTGATTAGTTCTTTCCATAAAAACAAAAATATTACTTCCATAAAGAAAAAAAAAATCTTCATTTTTTTTTTTAGAAGATATTTTTATTGGGTATAATTTTCTGGGTTGGTAGTTCTTTTCTTCCAACACTTTAATGATGTTGCTCCATTGCCTTCTGGTTTGGACTGTTTCCACCTTGAAGTCTGCTATCCTGTTTATTTTTGTTCCACTCTGAAAGGTAACAATTTTCTCTGGCAGCATTTTAAGCTTGTTTTTTATTGTTGGTTTTCAGACATTGTATTATGATGTGTATGGTTTTCTTTGTGTTTCTTGTACTTTAGGTTTATTGAGACCTTAGATTAGTGGGGGATATAGTTTTCATTAGACATAGAAAAAGTTTGGGCATATCTTCAACTCATTTTTCTATTCCCCTGAAATGTAACTCTAGCATTTGCTAAACTATCCAGAGTTAATGCAGACTTATGAGCACAATCCTTCACAAAACAACTCTCACTTCAGCTATCAGCTGAACTCTAATAGTTCACAGGCCATGTACCTTGAGACTGATTGGTTACATATTTGAAGAATCCCAGGTTCCACAGTTTGCTCAAATTCCTACAGAAATGCCACCATGTGGTTGAATTTCTGTTATAAAGAATACAAATCAGGACCAGCTAAATTAAAAATGCTTAGGAAGGTCTGGGAAAGTCCCAAACACAGAAATTTTGTCACCTTAGGATGGTATACAATGGTGTACAGTGTATACCAACAAATTTGTTATATGCTTAGGAAAATAGTATTTATACATGAAATTAAAAGTTTTAATAAACAAACATATTGTGCTATCAATAGTTCTAGAGTAAAAATATATACAATACTAGTAAGTAACTCATTTTCATTATTACACTACACTATTAAATATAAATAGTCTTAGTGGTTTCTTTTTCTTTCATCTTAACAAAGGATTACTAAGCCTGGTTTTAGAAGGTGCTTCAGTGATTATGTGGTGGACAAGGGAGAGGAAATAGCCCTGCTTCAATGGAAATAGCCCTGTTTTATTTTACTTGTTTTGTGTTAGATTTTTATTTAACAAAGATATCTTGCTGCTTAAGTAAGCTTAAAACCCTCTTGTAGAAATATGATCTTTGGATTTGTGTAGCTCAACTGACATATATTTAAAAAATTTGTAAAACTGAAACTCAAAGTGAAACCCATTTTTTAAATGAAATGAAGTAAAATTACCTGAAGTAAAGGGATAAAATCCTCTTGTTCTAGAAAGCTGCAGCTGGGCTTTGCTAGAAGACAGATAAACTTAGAGGCATCATCATGATGTCTATTCAGCAACCTATAAAAGAAACAACTGTTTAGGAAGATTGGCTACTGTGAACGATGACTACAACATCAAAGATAGTTGGTAATTTTGATTTGAAGGGCATTTAGATAAAAAAATTAAGTGCTCTCTTTTCATTGTTTTAAAAGGGAATTCGTATTTTTTTTTGCCAGAGATATTTTAACAAGAACTTATCAATAAGATGGTATTGTTTGTGCTTTTGAGACAGACCATAAATTTAACTGAATGAATGCAAGCAAAAGTACAGTTAAGAGAGAATGTTTACTCATGATTAGCATAGGACATCTGGAACCAGATCTCCAGAGCTACCTACCAGTCAGGAGGTAACACATCAGATGGACTACCGTGCACCTAAGACAAAAACTTCTGTTTGTCTAGGTTGACAGAGATCAGGGCTACTCTATTAAGTCCTATTAAGTCTTTTGAAGTCCAAGAATTCCTTATGTCCAACAATTGCTGGAGATCTTTACTTGGACATGGTACTCTGACAGCAAAGTCAAAATATCAAAAAGTAAAGTTATAATCTTTCTCTGAAAGTCAGTACATTTTATTGACAAATTTAAAAAAAAAAAAAGATTTATTTATCCATACAGAGCTGGGGTACAGGCCAGAGGTGCAGGGGCGGTGAGAGGATTCACCAGAGTCAGAGTGGGGAGCAGAACAGGCAGATCAACGAAGTACACTGCTGAGAGGAGCAGTGGATGGGTCAGGAGAGGTCTGCTGACCTCCAGTCTGATCACCTCCGCGGCAGGCGGGGATTGAACTCATGCTGAAGTGGCTTTAGCTTCTCTGTGCTGTGGTGCTGTGCTTTAACCCACTGTGCCACCAAGGAGGGCCCCGACAGCAATTTTTATTTATTTATTTATTTTATTTTATTTTATTTATTACAAAGTTTATTTTTACATCATTTTGCACATTTTTTTTTCCATCTCGATTGTAATCCCCGCGGGTTTCCCATCACCAAATCACCCCTGTGCCACCACCATAGTCCCGTGCATTTCCCTCTCTTCCCATCCCCCCCATTTTTGATTCCATTCCCCACTCCACCCCCACAGAATCCGACGGCAATTTTTAATGGTGGTACCATTCTTAGTAAACTGGACTTGAAATTTTGAATTCATTTTATTTCTCTTTATAATTTTTTCCATACTCAATTAGTCTCTAGATTTTCTTGTTTTTCTTTCTTAGTCATTTATTAAGTGCTAACTGTGTGCCATGTACTATGCCTGATTTTGATGACACTTGAAATAAACAAAAATAAGGCAGTTTGTGCTCTGTAAGCTTCCAGTTTAGTGAGAACACTATTGTGATAAGATTACACTAGTGTGTGACAAATGTGATAGAAGCAATAAGCACAGGGTGTCATGGAAGGACATCAGGGCCAGTGTGTTTTTTTTTTAAAAGGTGAGATAGACTGAAGGATGCTGTGGGTTAAGAGGGTTGCATGTACAAAAATCTGGTTTAAAAGAATAGCTGGTCAACTGGGTCAACTGTAAGTGCTAGGGTGGTAAGAGAAGGGAATATGAGTATGCAGGATCAGATCCTGGAGGCTCTTTAAAGGAGGTCAAGAAGACTGGACTTTAGCCTTACCCACAGGATAATTTTTACTTGGTTAGTGACATGATTGCATGTGTGTGTTTCCCTGAGAAATATCGAGTAAATATGAAAGCAAGGTCCTAATATGGAGACTGATAACAGGGGAGGGAGAAAAAGGGGTCAGTTTAGTTGAAAGGATATGATAGTGAAGTGTGATGTGTTAAATGAAGGGGTAAGTAAATGTGGATTTCCAGGTTTCTAGTTTGACCACTAGATGCTTGGAATACAGTACGGGAACACAGGAATCCCGAGGAATAGTTCCTCAAATGTTTTACACCATTCTGCCTTTGTATTTCCATGGTATGATCAAGTGCAGGGTTATATTATTTTATTCCAAGGATGAAGTAAGAAGAGCATAACAATATGCTTTTGCTCATCCACCTTACTTTTATCACAGACAAAACATCTTTTGAAAACATTCATTGATATTTTCCTTCATTCAAAAGTGTTCAATAGCGTTACCATTTATGTATATAAGTCTAAATGCTTGAAGCTATCTGTAATTATGCTTGAGTTTTCCTTCCTATCTCACTAAACAAAACATTTACTCTGGACAATAATGACCAACTATTTTCTGAATGTCATGTTCATTCTTAGCTCTGTGCCATTATTCACATTTTTCTACACCCCCATCACCCCAGAATACCATTCCTCTTAATTTTGCCATCTGAGTGTTGGCTATTGTTTATGGTTCAGCTAATAATGACATTTTTCAAAACACCTTCTCTGATAACTAAATTCCTTACTGATCTTAGTACTAATTAATTTATATATATATACATCTGATAACTAAATTCCTTACTGATCTTAGTACTATTTAATTTATATATATATACACTGTTGTACTGTTTATTTTCTTTTATCTCTGGGGCACTTACAGGGCAGGCAAAGTTATAGCTCATTTTTTCCCTTTGCACCCGGCATAGTAATTTTCACATAAATTTTTGAAAACTATTTGTGATCTGAATAATAGGTGTATATTTAACTGACTTCATTTGTGATTATTAGTGCTATCATGTGATTTTTACATTTATTGTCCTTATCATTCTTCAACATACTTAATTTTAAATAAATATGTATTTCAGCAAGAATAGACATACAGGCCAGTGGATTTGATAAGAAAACCCAGATATAAACCCACAAGTGTACAGACACCTAATTTTTGACAAAGGAGCAAAGAAGGCACAATGGAACAAAGAAAATTTGTTCAGCAAATGGTGCTGGGAAAACTGGGAAGCTACATGCAAAAAAATGCAACTAGATCATACCTTACTCCATTCACAAAAATCAACTCGAAGTGGATTAAAGACCTAGACATAAGAATGGAAACCATAAAATACCTGGAAGCAAAGATGGGCCAAAACTCCACGACACACACGTCAGAGACATCTTTAAAGACAGAGCACCCAATGCCACAATGGTGAAGGCAAGGATAAATAGATGGGACTACATCAAGTTAAAGAGCTTCTGTACAGCAATAGAGACATTACAAAAAACAAACAGCCCATTAACTGGGAAAAAATTTTCTCACACAAAACTAGTGATAAAGGATTAATCATAAAAGTATATGGAGAACTGACGAAACTCAACAAAAATAACCCCATTAAAAAATGGGAAGAAGAGCTAAAAGACACTTCTCCAAAGAGGAAATGCCAACAAGCATATGAAAAAATGTTCAACATCACTCGTAATAAGGGAGATGCAAATTAAAGCCATAGTGAGATACCACCTCATCCCAGTGAGAATGGCACATCTTCAAACAACTGGCAACAACAAATGTTGGCAAGGATGTGGAGAAAAACGAACTCTCCTGCACTGCTGGGGGAATGCAAACTAGTACAACCACTATGGAAAGCTGTTTGGAGGTTCCTCAAACTGCTTAACATGGAGCTTCCCTACAAGCCAGCAATGCCACTCCTAGGTATCTACCCAAAAGACACAAAAACACTGATTCAAAAAGATACCTGCACCCCCATGTTTATTGCTGCTTTATTTACAATTGGAAAAACATGGAAGCAGCCCAAATGCCCAAAAGTAGATGACTGGATTAAAAAGATGTGGTACATATACACAGTGGAATATTACTCAGCAACCAAAAAAACCCCAGAAACACATGTCTTTTGCAGCAACTTGGATGGAGCTGGTAAAGATCATGCTTAGCGAGATAAACCAGAAAGAAAAAGAAAAATACCAGATGGTTCACTCATAGCAGCAATATAATGGACCAGGCGAGAAAATAATAAGAATAATGAACAGCTATGTACCAGAGACATTCTGTGGGGGGGGGGGGATGGAGTGGGGAATGGGATCAAAAATGAGGGGGGTAGGGGTGGTGGTGAGGGAAGTGCACAGGACTATGGTGATGGCACGGGGTGACTTGGTGATGGGAAACCCACGGGGATTACAATTGAGATGGAAAAAAAAATGTAGAAAATGATGTAAAAATAAACTATTATAAAAAATATGTATTTCAGAAAAGATCAGTGCTGATGGGAACCACCTCTTAGGGATTAGAGAGTGGGTGAGGTGATCCCAACAAAAGGGCAGTGGTTTTTGGGCAGGAACACTGTTTATTTTTGATGGAGCATTAGTTTACAACACTGTTAAGTTTTAAGTTCTCACCTCAGCAACTGTATTATTTCACAAAATAACCCACCAACCAAATATTCAATGACCATCAACTACAAAGCTATTCTCTTCCCCACCTGACAGGAACCCTTTCATAAGAAACAACAGCACTACTAAGTCAAAATGACAAAGATGTAATGCTGAGATATTCTGAGAGAAAAAAACTAAATCAAATATAGCTTTTGCTATCAAAAGCATGAAGTAGAAAGAAATAGGGAATTTTCCAGCCAATGCTAGTGGCTGGTGAACTCTATGTGGCAAAGAAAAGGAGAAAATAAAAGTTATGAAATTTGAAGAAGAGTAAACATAGCTATTCAAAGGTGATATCCTTCCAAAGCTCTTAAAAATATTGTTTTGTTAATGGACAAGTGACATGAAAATGTAAGAGGAAGTAAATTTTGAAAAAGCTGAAGCAGTATGACTGAGGAACTCTGCCACAAAGTTGGTACTTCATGAACTTTGACAAAAAAAGCTGTAGAACAATGTTTTCCCCCTAAAAATATGCTGATTATATGAAAAATAGATGTCAAAGTACAGATATGAAACAAGCAGTAAAACAGGAAAGGAGGAAGAGCAAAAGCAGGTAATAAGAGCCCTTAATGGTTTATCCTCAAACTACTTGGAGATCTATGAAACCACTATCCATGAATAATTGGATGGGAGAGAAATTACTTCCTGTTAGGCTGTAACTTTTGTATCTGACTTTATTTATCAATATTATATAAAAGTTATTACTAATAGGAGCAAGCCAGTGTGCACACATATCTGTATCAATTCTGTGTCATCTTTCAGTTATTTTTTTGTACCTTAAAAGTACTAGAATAGTACCCTCCCTGGTGGCTTGGAAGGTTAGAGACAGCACTATGAAGCTAAAGCCACTTCAGCATGAGTTTGATCCTCAGCCCTGGAAGTGACCCACATGGCACAGCAGACCTTTCCTGATCTGCCCATTCTGTTCCCAACTCTGTCTCTTCTGAATCCTCTCATTGCCCCTGCACCTCTGGCCTGTACCCCAGCTCTGTAAGCATAAATAAATAAACAAACAAACAAACAAATAAATAAATAAATAAATAAATAAAAAGTATTAAAATAGTATACTTGGGCTCAAGTTGCTTTATACCATGTGTAAAAAACAATTACAAAAATAAACACCTGTTTTCCTCAAGGTCAGTGTGGAAACTCAAACCATCCTACTTAGTAGTTCAGTCTCTCAAAATAGCCATCCTTAAAAGTACTGTGGCTTTTAAAAGATGTTTTAAGAGCTCAGAGAGGAGTTCCCACTAGAGGGTGCTCCAACCACTTTAGTATCTGGCCTTAAACCTCAGATGCTTATTGCAGGCTTGTTTAAGTAACAGATTTTTTTTTTTT